TGCCCAGAAATGAAATTATTTACCAAAGCTTGCGTACTAAGCAACAGGGAGAAAAAGTCTCGGGCAGCTGGAATTTCGTCTTTGTTTTCCCAGGACCTCCTGGTATCTGTCAGGATTTATAGACACCAAGTGCAAGGTCAAGCACTATTTTCTAAATCAAAAAAAGTGAAGACTTTCAGGGGAAGCTCAAAGGCCGTGCAATGATCAACAAAGACAACCGCGGTGGAATCAGTGGCCGCCTCTCGCGAGGTTGTTTTCGTCACTTCCTGGGGAGCAGTTAGAGTGAGGGGTGCAGTCCTGTCCCCGGGTCCTTGATCGCTGGGTCCGGGTCTCCTGTTTATTGTACCAACACAATTCGCTGCATTCACTGCTGGTCTTTGTTCATTAGCTCAAATTTTTTCTCCCACTTTTTTTTTTTTCTTTTCGGATTAAGTGCACGAGGAGAGAGGGTGCGTTTGGCCTTGTGCGTGCGTCCTCTGACGAAGAGTAGATTTTACTCTTGCCATCTTTTGAAAGAGTCCTGCAGCAGAAATGTCCGAGACTGCTTTCCTGCTCCCTGTCCGCCCCCTCTCCTGGGCCCCTCGGAGCTGCTGGACAGCCGAGCCGTCCATTTGTCAATGACGGGTCAAGGTGTTGGGCTCTGTGAGGACCCCTGTCCGCCCTGTCCCCTTTCTCTCGGCGACAAGGGCGACTGGCTTTTCTTTCTCTTCCTCATTCCATTGCTGTTTGTTAGTGAGGCCTAAACTAGAAAGTGCTGCTGCTTAGCATGTAAATAAACCGACACTTTTTGCAGTAAATCGCTCTGTCTCCTTGATACACCAGGAACTCTCCTGTGCACAATGAGGAATTCAGTTCCCTTCCTGGCCTTGCGCGGAGGGAAAGGTGGTCACACTGTAATTATCTAAGTCCTTTCTACCGTATTTTTTTTTCCTGATTGTGCCTCTAATTTTCCCAGTCTGCTCACAGATAGCGCTCCTCCCAGCTAAGATAAAATTCCCGGGGCGGGCTTTGTGAATGAATTTGCTTCCTGCCTTCCAGTGCTTTGGAGACGATGTAGATGGAGGATGTGGCTTGCAGATCGGTTTGAAGAGACGTGGTTACGCTCCACAGTTCCGGCCACAGGAGTGGGCGCATGCTCCTGCACTTTTATTTGAACCCCACTGAAGTTGGTCATTATATTGTGAATGCCACAGCACGGCTGTGCCGCCAGTAAAAGCTCCTGTTCATTCATCCGTGTAATGATTGGCATGGGCTATAACTTGATGCACTGTTACACTATTTTAATTCTTTCGCAGGCAATGTTATCTTTGATCACTTCCTATTCGCTGGGAAAAACCCCACACAATGCAAGCGCACATTATGTTTTGGTGGCGATGCCAAACGCTCCCTGGAATATCGCTATTCAGGACAATTTCTCCACCCTCCGGCTGCTCATTAAAAGGATGGCAGCTTCTAACTTTAATGAATAAGGTAGAGTGAACATTCCACTCTTCTTTCAAAGAGACTCCATGGTTTAAAAAAAAAGCGTTCTCCACTGCCTATGTCTTTGTTTAATTGGAAGTGGTGCACACTCCCACAGAACCAAGGCCACCGCTCAGTGTGCAAAGGATTTCCTTGTCCCATTTTCTTTTTGTGATTCAAGTGCATATTTTATTAGGGAATTACAGAGAAAGCTTCGTGTATTCCCTCAACAAAATTACACCGATGGCTCTGCCCGGTGCCTCTAGACGGTCATCTTGTCGGCGGTGGAGTGGCTCTGAGATTTTTGGTTTTCTCTCCTTTCTTACCAAACCCTGATTAAATATGTTCTTTTAAGCCAAGGACATTGTGGCAGCTCCAAAAGCGCATTGAAAAGTTTAGCAAGAAAGAGCCAAGGGAGAAAGAACGACGGGACTGGTGTTTTGCAATGCTGCCTTCCTCTCAAAATCCAGGAGCCTAAAGCCCAGCCAAATTTGAGTTTGCGTCCAAGTTTAAGTGCATAAATTATCTTTGTTCTTTTTTTTTTTTTTTTAATAAACGAGGTCTAAAAATCTCTACTCACCTCCTAGTGGATTATAATCACGAGGCAACACCCAGAGTGTAGGAGGAGGTCTAAGATTTGCAGCCACATTCTGGGATACTCGGTCACACGCCAGAGTTGCCGCGGCGGGATGGGGACCACGGGTCTGGGACGCATTGTGCAGGGTCTCCGAGGCCCTCTTCCTTTAACTCCATGATGCAGACCAGTCCGTGAGGCCTTGGGCACCAGAGGTGTGCAGCCGGATGCGAGGCAGGGCCCATGGGTGCCGAGGACGGACGAGTTGGAGCTGTTAATGCCACACACAGCTCTAGTTTTGGTTTATGTAGTTACCGTCCTGTGCACGACGGTGTGCAAGCAACCTGAGGAGCCAAGATGAATCCGAGATCTCTGCTTCCCTGGAGTCTTCAAGATAGTTGGGGCGATGGAGCTAATGTGTTTGAAATGAGAAGAGAACAGAAAATGCTTAGAACTAAATGTTAACTTGTGCTCTGTTAGCAGGGGACACGCACTGAGGAGTAATTCATGGTGTGAGGTTCAAGTTGAACTGGACACCTTACACTTGGCAACGGTAGCCCCTGGGCCACTTTGTCATAAGGAGACCGCATGACCGTCCACCTTGCCTGCTGCAGCTAACACAATTTACCAGACGTGCACCTTGCAACTTGCAGTGTTTCCATATTTAAACGTAAACTTCGTCTCCACCGTGTGAGATCGCGTTCACTGCTCCCACTTTTCAGATGGAGAATAGGAGCCGCCAGGTCCGGTCTCATTTCCAAATGGCACCATCCGGGGAGGCGCTGCGCCTTCGCAGTGCCGCTGGCAGTGCCCTTTCTGTGCGCCGCAGCTCCCCAGCGGGGCTCCCTGGCTGCACGAAGGCTGCATTTGTTCTGCCAAGTTGCTTAGTGCAGGGCAACGTCCTGGCCAGATCCCCTTATTCACCACCATTGTCCCTGGAGAACGCCACCGTAAGCTGCTAAGAGAGCGCAGGACTCGGGAGGATGGGGGGGGGGGGTACTGGGAGTGCTCTGAAGGCTCTCCCTGAGGGATCCAGTGCTGGGGCTGCGACCCTGAACTCCTGCACCTGCCTTATCCCGATCCTTATCTGGCTTTCAGACAAGCCGGCTGCCTTTTCCTGTTCTGGAAATTTCCTCTGGCTAATAACGCAGAACACGGAAGTAAGAAAAGAGTCTTAACAATGTTGAAGCTATTTCTGAATACTAATTGTTATTTTTCTTGATGATATAATGCAAGCGATAAAAAACCACCCAGACTTAACGTTTTTGAAGGAGCTTTAAAAAGTTCGTGGGAATTTCGTAGCTTTTAAATCAGATTTCCACAAATTTTTCAAGTCCCCTGTCTATTTGTATATGGATGTAAGAAATAGATTAGAGGGGTTGGCGCTGTGGCATAGTGGGTAAAGCTACCACCTGCAGTGCTGGCATCCCAAATGGGTGCCAGTCCAAGTCCCGGCTGCTCCACTTCTAATGCAGCTCTCTGTTATGGCCTGGGAAAGCAGTTCAAGATGGCCCAAGTCCTCAGGCCCCTGCACCCACATGGGAGACCCGAAGAAGCTCCTGGCTTCTGGCTTCAGATTGGCACAGCTCCGGCCATTGAGGCCATTTGGGGAATGAAACAGTGGATGGAAGACTGTCTCTCTACCTCTCCTTCTCTCTGTGCAACTCAGACTTTGAAATAAATAAATGAATCTTTAAAAGGAATTATTTGAGAGACAGAAAGAGAGGAGAGACAGAAACAGAGGCAGAGAGAGAGAGACAGTAGACAGAGTCCCCATCCACTAGTTTCCTCTCCGAATGCCCACAACAACCAAGGGGTTGTCTGGCTGCAGCCAGGAGCCAGAACTCAACCCATGTCTCCCGTGCTGGGGCCAGGGGTCCAACGCTTGGAGCATCACTTGCTGGCTCCCCGGAAGCTGAAATTGGGAGCAGAGCTGGAACTTAGAACCCAGGCACTCGGATACAGGATTCGAGCATCTCAGCCCGGGCTTTGACCACTGGTCCAGCCAGCATCCACTGCAGTCCCCTTGGGTAGCAAGGGGGTATCGAGTTCATGTACACGTGGATTTTCCCAGATTTCCTTATTACATCAGATGCTACCATTGTTGTGTTTAGATTCCTGGAAGTGGGATGTGTAGGACGGAGCGTAGACGCTTTGTGTGTGAAAAATTGCTAATGGGCCACCCACAAGGATTTCATCGAGTTCCTTTCTGCCATTTCATTTTCAAGTTGATCTTGGGAATGTTTGCTTCTTCTCGTTCCATTTAGCGGACGTAGGTTTCTATCCCGGACATGTGGGAGACATTTCCCCCAGTTTTTCCTTTATCTTTTGACTTTGTTTATGACATCGTTTTTCTGCAAAAATAATTTTCTGGCAGCCTCATCGTCCCGCTTTGTGAGATTTCCGGTTCGCTCCCTGCCAAGATTGTGTAGGTCACTCGCGCCTTCATCCAGAACGTCTGTGGTCTTCGGATTTGACTCTTGAGCCTTGAAGCTGCCGGTCTATTTCTGTGCCAACAGTGTGACCGAGATCTAAGCTGGTGTTTTCCAAATGGCCGGCCATCTGAGTCGTCCATTGCTTCCCACTGATTGGCTCCCGTTTTCTCATGCACTAAATTTCCATTTTTACTTGGGCCTGGTTCTGATGTATAGACATTTCTCCCCGCGGCTGGGCCAGTTAAAACACTGAGATTCCAGCCTGTTTAGTGCCAGTTGGGTACCAACTCCCGATTCATCGCACGTGGCTGCTTCTTTTCATGGGTAAGTTTCCATCCCCTCGATTGTCTCAGCGTGGCAGTTTTTGGTTCTGTCCTGAGTACACGTCTTTTTAGCCATAGCAAGTTTAAATATCAAGGTCATTGAGGAAAAAGTGGGTTCTGGTCCCAGTCCCCTCACCTCTGTGTGCGTCCTTCCAGACACTGACGGGGAACTCACAAACTTCAAAGCACAGGTGTCCGCCGGGAGACAGCAGCAAGGGGCACACCTGGGAGCTGTTGGACACTGAGCCACCATGCAGCATTGCCTCCAGCCCTCAGCTGACCCACCCTGGGCTATCCCAGCCCCTCTGAAGGACTCAAAATGGCCATCAGCTTTTGCAGGTCCCTGAATCAATGGTGGTGGTGCAGATGTGTGTGTGTGCTGTTTTATTATTTTAGACTATAGAACGATTTGGAAAAACTTCCATTTTTTTTATGTTCCCTGGAAAAGTCTAAATGCCCCAGCTGTCATTGGCTCCTGTGACAAAAGCTGCTGATGAAAGGTGGGCGGTAGCCTTCTGAGGAGGAGCAGTGCCTGACACCTGTTCCATTCACCCAGGTTTGCTGCCTGGTCAGGCCTCATTATTCCCTCATCATACTGCATTAGCATAGTGTAAGCCACTCCCCCGCTCCAGAACAGTTGACAATCGTCATGGCAACCCAGGAAGGGGCCGCGGGAGGAGGAAAAGAGAAGCATCCCCAACTCCTAGAAGTCACCACCCCTGCCCAGAAACGAGGTGAGCACTCCTCTGCCCAGATATTCTCACACTCCTGCCAGAGCCCACGCAGGCACTGCTGTCACCTGTTCTTGGCCACGTTCTGTAATAAACTCTTGCTGTCTCGGTGTTGACTCATGACTGGTTTCCATCTTCCCGGAAGCCAGGGCCCTCCTGAAGCTGTGGCTGCCACACAGGGGTCCCAGCTGCACGGTATCAGCACTGCTTTGATTTTCTAACAGTTTTTGCACCGCACAACTTTTTTAAGATTTATTAATTTATTTGAAAGGCAATGTTACAGAGGAGGGAGAAAGAGGGAGAGAGAGAGAGAGAGAGAGAGCGCTTCCATCCACTGATTCACTTCCCGAGTGGCTTCAGTGGCTACACTGGGCAAGGCCAAAGTCGGAGCTTCATCCAGGCCTCCCACGTGGATGCAGGGGCCCACGCACTTGGGCCGTCCTCCACTGTGCAGGGCCCACGCACTTGGGCCGTCCTCCACTGTGCAGGGGCCCACGCACTTGGGCCGTCCTCCACTGTGCAGGGGCCCACGCACTTGGGCCGTCCTCCACTGTGCAGGGGCCCACGCACTTGGGCCGTCCTCCACTGTGCAGGGGCCCACGCACTTGGGCCGTCCTCCACTGTGCAGGGGCCCACGCACTTGGGCCGTCCTCCACCGCTTTCACAAGCACGTTAGCAGGGAGCCGTATCAGAAGGAGTAAGAGTAACCCGGATGCAAACTGGCCTTCATATTGGATGCCAGTGTCAGGCGGTGGCTTTACCTGTTCCGCTGCAACACTGGCCCTGCACTAAATAATTCTAAACATACAAATGCATAACTATTGAATCTTCTTATTAAATCCCTTCTTACAAGACCAAGTAGCTTTGTTCCATGTGGTGTTTTTCCTCCTGATTTTCACTTTGGAGTACTTTAATATCTCCACCAGGTTTCTAGGCATTTATATTGTGTTGAGCTTATAATTCATAAAGACAGAACTCACATTATATTATTAATAATTGTGTTTAAAAATAAGTAGATTTTTACAGAGTTAAGTTCTGTTTTTCCAGATCTGTCTCTAATTATTTTATCAATTTGTAGTTAATATGAATCAGATCTTTTCTTCCATTATATTTTCCAATTAGTGATTATATTTATAGTAAAGCTATTTGTCTTTGTACATTCTTTTTTAACATTCTTTTTAATTTATTTGAAAGGCAGAGTGACGCAGGGAGGGGAGAGAGAGAGAGAGATATCTCCCATCCATAGGTTCACTCCCCAGATGGCCACAACAGCTGGGGCTGGTTCTGGCCAAAGCCAGGAGCCTGGAATTTCTCCCATGTGGGTGGCAGGGGCCCAAGCACGTGGGCCACCTCCTGCTATTTTCCTAAGCACATTATCTAGGAGATGGGTCAGAAGCAGAGCAGCTGGGACTTGAACCAGAGCTCCAATATGGAATGTCCACACTGCAGCCCAACCCACTGTACCACGGTGCGGACCCTACTAGATTAATTTTGTAGCCACCGACTAATGGTTTTGTGTGTTGTAATAGTTTGTAGTTCATCTGGCTGCCTTTACCACAGTGTCCATGATCATGATAAATATGCCTTCTTTTTATTTCAGTGTCTTGCTCCGTCTTCTTGTCACATCGCATTGGCTAGTGCCTCCCGTCAGTAGATGGAACTATCCGCAGAGCACTTCCCGCTTGGTCCTGTTTTTGAGACGAATGCAAATCGCTGGATTCGCACAGTCGCAAGGCTCTCCAGTTAGAAATTTTCTTGCAAATAACAGAAAACTTGCCTAACAGAGACTCAAGCGAAAAGGTTTTTTTCCTGCAATAACAAGAAAACTGGGGATAGACGGGTATTAGTTTATTCCAGGTTCCACTGCATCTCGAGTCTGTGAGTCTGGGCTTTTCCCTCGTGGTAAAAAGACTACATCTGTGCGTGTCCTATATCGGGAGGGCGGCTCCTTCCCCACCCCACGCCGGAAACTGGGGGACAGAAATAAGATCGACTTTTCATCCACATTTTCAAATGCATTAGCTAGAGCTGTGCCAAACATGGTTTTGAATTATTTAAATTTTCTCCATATATATGGTTATTTTCTATTCTTGCTCCTAATTTTGGCTTTGTGCTTTCTCACTTTTTGCTTGATTTGTCTAGCAAGTAGTTTGTTTATTTGACCGTGGATTTTCTTTCCTCTTAAAGAGTGAGCTCTTGATTTTCTCTTGCTAATTTCGCTTGCTCATTCCTTTCTATCTACATTCATCTTTATTGATTCTAGTGTCTTGTTTGTGTTTATTTGGTGTTATTTTTCTGCAAAATGATGTGGATTCTTAATCCATTTGGTTTCATTCCTTAATGATTGGCAGCGAGAGAATTAAAACTACATTTTCCTCTGAGTACAGTATTAGGATTTCATATACATTGCTTTCCTGTGATTGTTTTTTTACCATACGTTTATGGTCTTGATTTCTTCTTTGGCCAAAGAGCAGTTGAGGAGATGTTCATGCATTTTTTTTAGTAGAGGGGGTTTGTTGGTTTTTTTTTCTCTTTTGCTGTTTATTTCACTTCTTGCATTCTGGTCAAGAAACCTGAGCCATTCATGTTTCCTTAGAATTTGCTATGATTCTGTTTGCCAATCACTTTTTTTTAAAGATTTATTTATTTGAAAGGCAGAGTTACAGAGAGGCAGAGAGAGAGAGAGGTCTTCCATCAGCTGGTTTACTCCCCAGATGGCCGCAATGGCCGGAGCTGGGCTGATCCGAAGCCAGGAGCCAGAAGCATCTTCCGGGTCTTCCCATGTGGGTGCAGGGGACCAAGAAGTTGGGTCATCTTCTACTGCTTTCCCAGGCCATGCAGAGAGCGGGATCGGAAGTGGAGCAGCTGGGTCTTGAACTGGTGCCCATATGGGATGCCAGCACTGCAGGCAGCGGCCTCACCAGCTACACCACAGTGCTGGCCCCGGCTACTCATATTTTTAAAAAAGTTTTCTTTCTTTATTTGAAAAACAGAGTTAAAGAGAGAGCGGGAGAGACCGAGAGAGATCGTCCATGTGCTAGTTCACACCCCAGCAGTTTGGTTTGTTTTAATGCTGTGTTGTGTAGCCTATAATGATGAATCAAATATATTTTTCATTGTAGGTTCCCCTCGGCATTGTAAGGCTTTTTTCCAGCCCAGCTGTGTCTAGTACTGATATCTCCATTTTCCCTTCTCCAGTCTGCTGCCTGCTGTGTTGTGGAAGTTGTCAGGATCAAAACGGAGTTGCTGAAGTCAAATCCTAATGAGGTGGAGTTCGGAGGCCTTGAAGGCAGGGCGCTACGACAGGACTCACTGAGAACCACGGCCTTCGCAAAGGCCCCACAGCCTTGGGCAGAAAACACGTCTCCGGGAGCTTGTGCCCGACAGCTGTGTGTCCAAGCTCAGGCTGTTGCCTGCCCTGCTGCCTGCCGATCCTGGTAGCCAGGAATACACGTTTCAAAACAATTTACAGGGGCCAAGGCTGTGGCATAGCAGGAAAAGCTGACACCTGCTGTGCCGGCATCCCATATGGTCACCAGTTTGAGTCACGGCTGCTCCCTGATCCAGCTCTCTGCTATGGCTTGGGAAAGCAGTGGTAGATGGCCCAAGTCATTGGGCTCCTGCACCCACGTGGGAGACCCAGAAGAAGCTCCTGGCTCCTGGCTTCAGATCAGCACAGCTCCAGCCATTGCGGCCATCTGGAGAGTGAATCAGCGGATGGAAGACCTCTCTCTCCCTCTCTCTTTCTTTTTGCCTCTGCCTTTCTGTAACTCTGCCTTTCAAATAAATAAATAAATCTTTAAAAAAAAAAAAGCAACTTACGTAAGCTTCCTCATCGACCTTTCAACCCCTTGCCCTCCTCTGTCTCCCATAGATGCCCGTGGTCTGCCACAGGGTGCACAGCCCAGATCTGCACATCCCCGGCCCATTGCCAGGTAAGACGCTCTCCTTGGGAGAGTCTCCCTCTGTCTGCTCCCTAGGTTGGCAGTTTCTCTGGCCATCCTTTCCCTCCCCAAGTTTGTCTCTGGCAGCATAAGATGGATTTAGTTTCTGATCCTGTAACTTCTTTTTATAAAAATAGAACTTAACTTTTATCACATTTGCATTTATTTTTATAATAGCTATGTTTCATTTCAATTTTACAATCTTAGTTAGTGCTTTCTGGGATTTTTGCTTGCCTAGTTTTTTCTTTCTTTCTTTTTTTTCCCCCACTACTTTTTTGGGTTGTTTATTATCCTGAGGGCATATGGAAGATACCTAATCTGTTTCAGTTTCTAACTAATGACTGTCTTTGCAACTTTAAATACAATGCTAAATCTCTCCTTCTCCATGCGTCAATTTAGGGGAGGAAATCAGTGGCCTTACATTTCTTCTCATGCTTCACCCTTTTCTTTCTATTTTAATTGGTATCTGATACATTTAGTTAGTATTTTTTAGCCCAGACGATTATCATTATGGCTTTAATATTTTAAATAAAAATGTACTGATTTATTTGAAAGGCAGAGCATCACAGAGAGAGGGAAACACAAGGAGAGAGATCTTCCACCCGCTGGCTCACTGCCCGGATGGCCACAATGGCCAGGGCTGGGCCAGACCAAAACCAGGAGCCAGGAGCTTCATCCAGGTGCAGGGGCCCAGCACTCGGGCCATCTCTCGCTGCTTTCCCAGGTGCATTAGCATGGAGCTGGATTGGAAGTGGAGCAGTCGGGACTTGAACCAGCACCTATATGGGATGCCAGTGTTGCAGGTGGTGGCTTAACCCACTGTGCTACACTGCCGCAGCACCAGTCCCTACATTCTGTTTTTAATAACTTAACACCATAGGTATTGGGTAGGTTCAATGCTCAGCTCCAACCCTTTCAACCAACGGTTTTCCCATTTTACACCCTCTCTAGGTTATTCCATTACACAACGTCTCAGATTTCCCCGAGAGGGCAGGATAACCCTGTGCTCTTTGCACACTCGGGAGCTGTCATAAACGTGAGTGACAGTCTGGCTGAGTGTAGAGAAGCTTGGTCCCCTCTCTCCCCCATCATCTGGGAGGTCTGTTAGCCTCGACCATCACGGAGCTGAGTGACGTCTGAGGCCGGCTGGGCTCTTCCTGTTGAGAGACTTGCCCCGCGCTCGGGGCGCGGAGGGCTGTGTCCTTTCCAGTCTGGAGAGTCCGAGTCCCCCAGCTGCCGCCACTGCTCCCTGCGAGCCGGGGAGCCGCTGCCACGGGCAGATTCCGGAGCTCCACTGCAGGCAGGTCTGCAGCCCGGCACGCCCTGATCTTCCGTCCCTTCCGCGTGTCCTCCGTTCCGCGCCGCCGCTGTCTGCCTCCCTCGGGCATCGCTGTACGGGTCTCCTACCCCTTGTTCTTTTCTCTGTCCTCTTCAAGTCTCTCTTCCCCCATCCCTGACCGAGTTTCCTGCGAAGCCAGTTTCTCTTCTTGTACGTACGGCACTGATTCGTTCTGCGGAGGAACTCGCCTCGCCCTCCGCTGCTTTTCTTAACTCCCTTTTCCCTGCTGTATGGAGCTGGCGCTGCAGCTTTGGGTGTCCTGTGCGTTCTGTTCTAGCGAACTTCCTTGAGAACTGAGTCTTGTTGATGGGACTGTCATTCAAGCCGAGACTGAAAGGACAAGAAGGCCGCCCACAGGTGCCGGGGTGGGGAGGGAAAGATGCCCCCAAGTGCTGGGCTTCCCACAGGGGCCAGGGCTGGGGCAAAGACGCCCCAGGATCCGTCTCCACTCTGGAGGTTCCCTCTCCCTCCAGTCTTCCCAGCTACCCTCACCCTCAGCCTTACTCGAAAGGAGCATTGCCCAGTGTTTTCTCTGACGTTTACCCAGAAAGGGACACCCAGGGTACTGGCTAGATGGCACCTAAGAGTCCCCTGCCATCTAAGACTTTGTAGACAAAAGTCTGTATCTTCAAGTCCCCCTGCCTCGTAGAATCTAGGCGGCAGTACCAGCACGGGGAGAAGGTGAGCGGGCCCCACCAGCTCTCGGCATCTTTGACCCTGGCTGTGCGGGTTGCAACAAATGCCTGGCACGTGCCTTTTGGTTGGCTGCTGTCGCGGGCTGGCTGCGGGGAGACCACCCCAGGTCTTCAGCTTCCTGTGTTCCCCTGGTTCCCTTCAGGCTGCCAGAACCGGACCTCTGCCCCCCCCCCCCCCGGGATCTTTCGAGTTCTGCTTGGAAAAGCAGTTTGCACTAAATATTGAACAGAGTTAGCTTCTAGGATTGGAAAGTCACAAGCAGTGCTTCTGTCTGTTTGTTTTACCTACCGAAATGTGCAACAGGACATGTAAAAGCTGTGCCAAACGTAAGGCGATGCTTTGTCGCAGGGGACAGGTCCTTGTCACTACCAGAGGTGCTCGCCAATCACTGAACCGAAAACTACACCGCAGTGTGCAAAAATACCCCCTAGCGCTGCTCCAGCCGCCCCCAAGAACTAGCGACTTGGGTAAACCAAGTCTTCCTTTGGCACAGCTTGGTCAGATCTTGGGGCAGATGAGCACCACATAAGAGAGCGGTTTAAAAAGCTGAGAACAAATCTTGCGTGGCACAGGCTCTGCGTGTGTGTTTATCCTGTGAATAAGCAAATGCAGTCAGCAAAAATCAACACAGGCTCAAGTTCTTCAAAGTTAATGAGCAGACGTCACTGGGACTGAGCCCACTTTTTCAAAATGCTAAAAAGTGTACACAACTTACAATGGGTCATTATTTGCAAAAAAGGAGGAAGGATACGTAAATGTTTGCATTAGACAAGAATACTGGATGGCTGCTCGCTGTAGCAGCTGAGTTGGGGCCTGGGGTGTGGGCTTCCCACACCAGACTGGCTGGTTCCAGTCCCAGCTCGTCTGCTTCCCACCAGTTTCCTGCTAACATGCACCTGGGAGGGAGCAGGTGATGGAGACTACAGGGGAGACCCTGCGTGAGTGTCTGGCCCAGCCCCGGCCGCTGCGGGAACCCGGTCAGTGAACCACTGGATGGAAGGTCTCTGTCTGCCTCTCTTCTTGCCTTTCAGAACAAAGGTGAATAAACACAAAATGTCTAATTCAAGGACAGGAAGAAACCAGTCCTGTCTACTTCTGGGAAAAGCAACTGGACAGCTGAGTGCACGGGCGAGAGGACAGCTTCATGACTTCCTGGATGATTTCACGCTTTTGTATTTTGACCAAAATAAACGAAATAGCTAATTCTAAATAAATAAGCAACAGATTTTTAAAAAATGTTTATTTATTTGAAAGACTTACAGACAGAAGATGAGGCAGAGAGACAGAGAGACAGAGAGAGAGAGAGAGAGAGAGAGAGAGAGGTTTTCCATCCGCTGGTTCGCTCCCCAGTTGGCCACAACGGCCGGAGCTGCACAGATCCAAAGCCAGGAGCCAGGAGCTTCCTCTGGGTCTCCCGCGTGAGTGCAGGGACCCAAGGACGCGTCTGGTGGTTAACCGACAAAAACTCTTATTTGCATGTCAGGGTCCTCGCAACAAGGCATGAAATGTGAATCCGATGTTCCCGGTGCCCAGTTCACCACGGATTTGGAAGGACCACGGTGCTCATGTTTGCTGTGGAGGCGGAAGCCGCCCCGTCTCACCTCAGAACAGGTGCCCTGGAATTCTCCCGTTTCTCTCACCTCCCGCCCTCCACAGAAAGCATAAGACGGTTAAAAAGGGATTCCCACGTCTATTTTCAAATTATGTCAGAAAAGTAGATTAAAGGTTTATGTGTAGAAAAACGGAGATAAATATTCAAGCATAAATTATGGCAGGATTAATAAGTGCACATTTGTGCTAAGTAACTAGAAAATGGTTTGAGCATTAATTCATTTACATATGTTCATTCAGACGCGTATCCTGAAGCGTGTGAGTAGCTGGGGGTGGAGCGTTTAATCACTTAGTAAGCAGTCCCCGATGGGATTGCCATTTATTTATTGTCTGCATTGACTTCCCCACAAGGAGGCTGCTGGCGGTGAGTAGGAGCTGGTGCTGGCGGAGACCCTCCCGCCCACTGCACAGCCAGCGCCCCCACGGCCCCGACCCCCTTTGGTTTCAGATCTGATCTCTTCATCCCTGTTCAGGGCACACGCGGCTGCTCATTCACTTGTGGACACTCGCTCCCACTTCGTCACGGGGCAACCGCTGGTCTCGGGTTCAGGCTTCATTCTTACCTGGAACATGGTAGACACCACAGACTCCCAAGAAGCACATCTGGTCTTGGTGATACGTGGGCTCCCCCCACGTGTGACCTGGAAAGATCCAGAGCTCAGTGCACTCATCTGGACAAGTCTCCTGGGTGACTTCGTTATGAGATTTTCACTAATTAGAGCAACTGAAATCACCCGTTTGCTCTACAAGTGGTGCATCTATGTCCCAAGGGACATCCACATCGGTCTCTCCATCTTCGCAGTAACAGGTGCAAGTGTGGAGGGGACTGTTAATCAGAATGATGTGAAATTGCTGTTTTTATCACTTAGAATGGTTGGAGAGTAATGATTCAAGGTTCACCCTAATCTTATACCCATTTTACAGATTTGGTTGTTGGATATGGGGAGGTTAATAATGTGCACAGTCACACACCTGTCATGGGTGATTCCAGGACTCAGCGTAGTCAGAGACTCCAACACACACACCTAGCGGTGACGCCCGCTGCCTGCCAGCCTCATCAGGAGCCGTCCATGTGCTGGAGGGCCGGAGCGGACAATCCCTGGCGCCTTGCTCCCGGCCCAGGGCAGCGCATGAACCTGCTCCTCGTGCTCCGAAGTGCAGGAGCCCTGGAGAGATGAGGT